GATCCAGCATCAATAAAGCCGACGGGCTGTTCATGGGGGTCCCACGGAAGTGGACACTGTGCACGATCTGCAGAGGTTTTCCTGTCGAAGGTCTCAGAATCAACCCTAGATACAATGTTCCTTAGGTCTGCTTTCAGCTTTTGGAGGAATGGGCTCTTTAGGATGCAGAAAGCTCCGGGAGAGCGGACCTAAAGGCTAGGTTAAGCCTGGGGGCACCGGAAGGATGCGGGCACCTGCAACGGGATCCCAAGTCAGAACCGGAGTCGCCCCTCCAGCGGCCAGGGCCTGACCTTTGCCCCCTGCCTTCCTCCCAGGTGCCTCCCACAGCAATCTCTCCCTCGTCTTATTCCTGCCCCTGTGCGCTTGCTCCCCCCCGGCTCGTCCAAGTGAAGGGCCCTCCTCCCCTATTCCCTATCGCGATGTCAGGGCGGCCTGCACATCCCTGGAACTCTAAGAAGAGACTTCGCTGACCTGTCAGCGGATCCAAAATGGCGGGGCCTAGTCCCAGGACCGGCAGCCGCTGCTCATGTCCAGCCCGGGCCTCGAAGGCGTCTCCGAGCGGCTCTCCCGACTCTGGCGGCAGATGGGAGAAGGGAAGTAGCCCTTTTCCTGGCAGTTGAGGCCGCAATCAGGGACCACACAGCGGCCGGGAAGAGTCGGCCGGAACGGGCGGTGGAGCCGGCTACCCTGCCTGTCAGCGCACTGACGTGGTAACTAGCCTCAGACTAGCCCGCTGCCTGGTAACTGCGCGAGCCCTGACGCGCACAGCCAATCACAACTCCGCACCGTGAAAAGTGGCATCCCAGCTACCCAATCGAAGAAAGGAAATTGTCTTCGAGAGATGGGTTGCGCCTAAGGAGGAGAGATTAAAAGGGAAAGAAAAGGGTAGCTAAGGGACAACCAACGGATATAAGGACTCTCTGAGTGACAGTAATAAAGGCCAATAAAAAGGGAGAAATTGTGCTGGGCGGTTGGAGAGGTGGAGCTAGCTAGAGTTCGGTTGCAGTGCGCTTGGAAGTGTTTGCTGGGCATTATGGGGAGGAAAGCTTACATTTGTTGGAAAGGGGGCGGGATTCGTTTTGAGAGCTTGAGCGAACGACTCTACTCCCTCCTCCCTGTCCCACCCCGGCCACTCCCAGTCAAAATCAGCTGGACCAAAACCGTGCCCCTTGAGTCTTAAGGCTTAAGAGGACACTTGGAGCCCTAGCCGGTTTGCTCAGTGGACAGAGCATCGGCCTGAGGCCTGAAGGGTCCCGGGTTCGATTCCGGTCAAAGGCTCGATCCCCAGTAAGGGGCGTGCAGGAGGCAGTGGATCAATGAGTTTCTCTCATCATTGATGTTTCAATCTCTCCCTTCCTCTCTGAAATCAATTTTAAAAATGTATTTTTAAAAAACAAGAGAGAGAGAGAACACTTCGACAGGAAGCAGCTTCTGGGCTCCCTCCATCCTAGGATCAGCACACAATTTATTCCAACCTCCCCTCCCCCACTCTCACTGCCCTGTATGGCTTCTCATAGAGCTGTCTGTCCCATCTGTTTCTGTGTCTTGTACCCCGTTCCTGTCATGCAGAAATAGAAAAAAAAAAAAACACGAGAGGTGGCAGAAACCTTGGGTACCTAATTCAGGTCTCTTCATTTTACAGAGCAGGAAACCAAGTCCCAGAGTGGAAAGACAGCACCCACGTTTGCATAACTACATGTTGGCAGAGCAGAAAGACAAACCCAGGTGTCCTGGTCGCCAGCTCAGTTTTTTTTTTTTCCACTGCCCTTCACTATCTCTTATGTCTTAGTCTACCAGACTGTGACTCCCAGCTCTGCCTCTCATACTAAGCCTTGGACACTTTTTACCTACCTGGAACAAAGCTAATCACACGGGTTAGTCCACATCAGTGACAGGAAACTGAAGCCTTCCCGGTTTGCCTTAAAATACTAAGAAGCCTAAAGGCTGAATGTCCACCCCAGTCTTCACTTTCCTACCCCCAAGTGCCTCTCCTCTTGCACAGGATGATAGAGGTTGCTAGGATATTTAGAATTACCTAGAAGTGAAAGTAAAATGGGGTGGGGTTTTTTTTCTTGCAGATTGACTAGTGGAATTCCTAGCCTGTCTCCTGGAATGGAGCCCAGATGTCCCTGCAGACCTGAAGAGACTTCTGGGAAGTAGTGAAAAAAGAAACCAATTCTATCCCTAGTTCCTCCCATTTATAGATGACCCAAGTCCATATACCTAAACCCATAGAAATGTGGTCTCAAAATCAGACATCCAAGACCATCCACGTGCTAGGATTCTCTAATTTGAAGAACCCATCAGACCTGAAGAACTCCTAAACAACTTCCTGCACCTGCACATTGGGCTCCTGGTCTCTAGGTCCAGCTGAAAATCTTGCTCTTTCACCCAAAGAGAGAGGGAAAAGATACAACCACGATAGCACCTCTTTCCACAGTACCTCTGAGCCATTTTCCAACTTCATTTGAAAACTGGGATTTGGTCTCTTAGGTTTATCTCAGACGAAGAGGTCCTAGATAGCCAGAATTTGGAAAATCCTCCAAGTGAACCAAAACTCCCTACTCTCCCATCTCCATTCCCACATACCTCCAAAATTTAACCAACCTAAAAGCATGAATGGGATTGTGTGTTACGGATGAGGAGGAGAGAGATGGAAATGCCTTAGACCCGTGATCAGCAAACCGCGGCTCGCGAG